AGAGGAGGGGAGTTATGGGGGGAAAAAAGAGGAACAAATGTAATAATCTGAACAATAAAGATTTAATTTAAAAATAAATAAATAAATAAAAAGTAAAACCCTTCCCTGATCCCTCAACTCCCCCCAGCATTTACCCCATTTTACTGCTCCACTTAAAGCAAAACTCCTGGAAAGATCTGGCTTTCCTTGTGGTCTACAAGTCCTCTCTTAATCTCTCCTGACTCCATGCCAATCAAGCATTCATTCCCCCTACTCTATCCAGTAGCTCTTGACGAGGACTCAATGACCTGCACATTGCAACAATTCATTATCAGTTTGAATCTCATGCTACTTATTACCAGCAGTATCTGACATTCACTTCTCCTTGGAACCTTTGTTCTTGGTTCTCTTCTCACCTCAATAGCCACTTGGTCTCTTGCTATCCTTCATCTCCCAGACCTTTAGTCATTGGAGGGTCCCAGTTCTTGCATCTCTTTTCTTCTGTATCTACACTCCCCAAGAGTTTTCATAGAGTCTCATGGTTTTAAATACTGTCTATACTCTGATGACTTCAAAATTTACATTTCTTTTTTTTCTTTTTTCTTTTTCTTTCTTGGTCAATCCTCACCAGGGGATATTTTTCAATTGATTTTTAGAGAGAGTGGAAAGGCGGAAGAGAGACAGAAACATTGATGTGAGAGAGACACATAGATTGGTTGCCTCCCGCACAGGCCGGGACCAGGGCCAGGGATCGAGCCTGAAACCAAGGTACGTACCCTTGACCGGAATCAAACCCAGGACCCTTCAGTCTGCAGGCTGACACTCTACTCACTGAGCCAAACCGATTAGAGCCAAATTTACATTTCTAGCACAGAACTTTCTCCACACTTCAGAAATATGTCTAATTTCTTACTCAGTATTTTCCATTGGCTATGTACCAAGATCTGTTTAAATTAACATGTTTAAAATCAAATTCCAAATTTTCCCATTTCACCTCCATCAAATCCCTTCTTCCAGAATCATTAGCAAATTGCACTCAATAAATTATAACTATATTACTTTTATTTCAGATTCTTTTAGCCAAAAACTATAAAGTCAATATTTACTCTATTTTACACACCACAACTAAATCATAAGCAAAGCCTATTGCACCTACTTTCAAAATATATCCAGACCTTGATCAAACCTTATAGTCTCCACCACAACCACTCTGGTCACAGATACCACCACCTTGCACTAGACTACTTCAAGAGCTTTACTACTGTCTCTGCTTCTAGTCCTGCCCTCTGAGAATGTCATCTCAACACAGCCGTTAGAGCAGTACTTTAAAAGTACAAGGTTACATCATGTCATTCTTGTGGGCGAAACCATACAATGGCTTTCCATCTCACTCAAGAAAATGTCAGCCTTATACAATCCTAATGGGCCCGATGAGCTCTGGGTGCCTGCTACCCCTCTGACCTCATCTCCCACCTACCGGCCACTTTCCCATCACTCATTCGGCTCCAGCCACACTTGTGTCCATGTTCCTCCACTAACCAAGTATAACTCAAAACAAGTTAACAAATGGAGATTTCATATGGGACAACTGACTATATGAAGCATAAAAAAAAAAATCCTATTTATTCCTTATGGATTACTCATTTGAGATTCTTTATGCTCGCAATACTACATGCAAATATAAATCCTATACCATATCATCATACCTGTTCATGTTTATTCTGAATCCATGAATAAATCACACTGGGCTGTCTCATTGTCTTACCCTCAGCACTAACTGTAGATGGAAGATTAGAAAATCCATTCATTTGCTGATCTAATAAAAAAACAAAACGGTGAAAACTTAGGCTATCTAATTCTCTGCAACTTTGACATTTCAAATTTTAGAAAACAAACAGTCCTCACCAGGGGTAGAAGACCATAATCTTGGCCCTCTTCTTATTAGCTGAGAACTTTGAGGTGACCCATAGCCAGTGGTTGCATCAAAAATTCCAGCCATCCGATTTATTACAGTAGAGCCAAAAGGAGATCCAAGGGGACTTGAAATATCGGGTGTAGATAATTTTGGCGAAAACAGTGATGTCTTAACTGACGGTGGCACTGAAGACCGAGGCATCTGACTAGATTTTGGGGTCTGAAAAGTAGTTTCTTCTGCAAAAGAACAGATAGAGCGCTGAAGGGGCAATCTGATCCAAACAGGCCAACCTGAGGGTTCTCAAATTTTACACATCTTAATTTTTTGTTTAATGTATTACCCAAGGCTCAGTAGGTTGTTTCCATTTAGGTTTACATTCTCAAGATCCTGGTTTTACTACTGCAACTCAATGACCACTCAAGAAGGTTTAAACATCTTTTCTGTCATATTGGTACTGCCTCTCTTGCTTTATTCCCCTCCACAAATATCCTCATCTTCAAGGTCAGTTTCTCTAGGCTGTTTTGAATAAACTTCTCAATTCGTATTTTATTTTTGTACTAGAGGCCCAGTGCACGAAATTCATGCACTGAGGGGGGGGGGGTCCCTCAGCCGAGTCTGCACCCTCTCACAGTCTGGAACCCGTCAGGGGATGTCCGACTGCTGGCTTAGGCCCGATACCCGGGGGGATTGGGCCTAAGCCAGCAATCAGACATTCCTCTTGCAGTCCAGGAGCCCTGCTGCTCCTTAGTGCTGCCGCGGAGGCGGGAGAGGCTCCCACCACCACCACTGCGCCAACCAGCCATGAGCTCGGCTTCTGGCTGAGCGGCGCTCCCCCTATGGGAGCGCACTGACCACCAGGGGGCAGCTCCTGCATTAAGTGTCTGCCCCCTGGTGGTCAGTGCGCATTATAGCAACCGGTCATTCTGCCATAACAGTCGCTTAGGCTTTTATTATAAAGATAGATGGAAATAACTTCAATTATTGCATTAGAATCTTTCCAGTTTTACTGCACCTTTCTACTATAACAAACAACTACTTGGCTAAACATAATTAAAATTATATTATGAAAATGTACAAATAAGGGTGCTAACCTTATCCCATTTTCCTCAAAGTTCTTTCAAATTAACAGAAGTCACACCAAAGGCCAATTTGCCCAGGATATGTACACACCTGGCTCTACAAATCTGATCTGCAAATAGCTTCTTCACAAATTATAAGTCTTGTTATTTAGTTAGAGTCTGGTACAAAAACAAAGGAACATTTTCCCTGCCATGCCAGTCAGCATAAAGCACAAAGACAAAAAATCATAGACTAGTATTCTATCTTCTTAATAAAACCACAATAAGACATTAAACATTTAAAGTACTACATTTTGCCCTGACCGGTTTGGCTCAGTGGATAGAGCGTCGGCCTGCAGACTCAAGGGTCCCGGGTTTGATTCCAGTCAGGGGCATGTACGTTGGTTGCAGGCACATCCCCAGTGTGCGGTGTGCAGGAGGCAGCTGATCGATGTTTCTCTCTCATCTGTGTTTCTAACTCTCTCTCCCTCTCCCTCTCTGTAAAAATATCAATAAAAAAAATAAAAATAAAAAAAATAAAGTACTACATTTTAATTACGTGACTTTTTAAGAGTGGCAATTAGAAATCTTTGAAAAATCAATTTAAAAATTAAGACTGGGGTTTTTAAGTTTTGCAATAACTCCTCAAATCTATTTATTTATTTATTTATTTATTTAATATATATTTTATTGATTTTTTACAGAGAGGAAAGGAGAGGGATAGAGAGTTTGAAACATCAATGAGAGAGAAATATCGATCAGCTGCTTCCTGCACACCCCCAACTGGGGATGTGCCCGCCCCTTTAGTCCACAGGCCGACGCTCTATCCACTGAGCCAAACCGGTCAGGGCAATTTTTAAAAAAAATATTTTTATTGATTTCAGAGAAGAAGGGACAGGGATAGAGAGATAGAAACATCAATAATGAGAGAGAATCATTGATTGGCTGCCTCCTGCCCGCCCCCTATTGGGAGGGATCGAGCCCGCAACTCAGGCACGTGTCCTTGGCTGGAATCAAACCTGGGACCCTTTAGTCCACAGGCCGACGCTCTATCCACTGAGCCAAACCAGCTAGGGCTAATTCCTCAAATTTAGAGGCAAATTTTGTGTATATGATGGGATACGACAACAATTTAAGATAATGAAAAACCCCTTCAGACCCGTGATCCCTCTAATCCAGCAGTTCTCAACCTGTGGGTCGCGACCCCTTTGGGGGTCAAACGACCCTTTCACAGGGGTCGCCTAAATACATCCTGCATATCAGATATTTACATTACAATTCATAACAGTAGCAAAATTACAGTTATGAAGTAGCAACGAAAATAATTTTATGGTTGGGGGTCACCACAACATGAGGAACTGTATTAAAGGGTCGTGGCATTAGGAAGGTTGAAAACCACTGCTCTAATCCAATGTTACAATAATCTTTGCAGTGGTTCTCAACCTTCTGGCCCTTTAAATACAGTAGGTTAGCTTGCTGCTCAGCCAATTAGGACTGAGCAAGACAGGCCGGACACGCCCTAGAGCCTTCCCGCAGTCCCTCCCCAGGTGGCCAACATCCCGCTTCTCTCCCCAGTCATGCACCAGTGGGGTCCCTCAGCCTGGCCTACGCCCTCTCGCAATCCAGTACCCCTTGGGGGATGTTGGAGAGCTGGTTTTGGTCCAATCGCACAGGACAGGCCGAGGAAACCCGCTGGTGCACGAATTCGTGCACCGGGCCTCTAGTTTTCTTATATTTGTGTATCTCCCAATAAATAATCAGTTCCAAGAGTGTTTTGTCATCTTTGATTCTCTCACTTCTAGAACATTGCTTGGCATTCAATAAATATCTATCTATCTATCTAAAAGCCTAAGTGACCATTACAACCGAACGACCAGAATGACTGGACAGTAGCTATGACATGTACTGACCCAGACATTGCTGCTGGGGCCCTGTCAGCCCCAAATCTGGTTCACCTGCACCCTGGACCCAGACAGGAGGGAGGAGGGAGCCTGATTCCTTGCGGAATCAGCTGTTGGTTAGCTGACTACTGGGGCCAACCTCCCGCGACCCCTCCCCCTGGCAGGCCACCCGCCCCTCCATAGCCCCGATTGCTGGCCAGGCCAAAGGACCCCACCCATGCATGAATTCGTGCACCAGGCCTCTAGTATCTACATATATAAAAGTCTAAGCAACCAGCTGACTGTTCAACCAGTAGCTATGATGCGCACTGACCACCAGGGGGCAGATGCTCCGACCAGTAGGTTTGCTTGCTGCTGGGGTCTGGCCGATCGGGGCTGGGTGAGATGGGCCGGACACGCCCTGGAGCCCTCCCCAGCCCCAATTGTACACCGGTGGGGTCCCGGATTGTGAGAGGGTGCAGGTCAGGCCGAGGGACCCCACCGGTGCACAAATCTGTGCACTGAGCTTCTAGTTCTATAAATAAGTGCTAATCTGAAAGTTGATGACATCTGAAATACTCTAGAACCTTTTAAAATCTGACATTCATGAACTTATTTCAATCATTTTTCAACTGTAACCTATTTGTTTTGGGTATATGGATGATTTCACATAACATTCTCTTCAAAAACAAAACAAAAAAACCACAAATTCAGATACTGGGTCCAAATTCTCACATGGGAATAATGGACTAAAGCTAACCCATAGCTTCCCCCTTCAGATGAAGCCTGTGCTCCCAAGTTTACCACCATCCTCACCTAGCCAGTTTCACCCACTTTTACTAAATGCCTAGATCCAAAAAGCATTTGAACATTAAGTCCTTTATTTATATTCTTACATCCCTAGGCATTTTCTACTTAAGGGATTTGGTGAAAAAGCATAAGATCCTCCACTTGTACATCACCATCGCACTGGACTTAATTTTTTTGACCTACAATGATACCGAGTTCTTATTCCTGGTACAGTGCAATATCCCACATATTGGATCAGTTTCCCTAAATATACATATATCTCACACTCATACACATATCTTTAGATCAGGGGTCCTCAAACTACGGCCCGCGGGCCACATGCAAATACAAATGTTGTATTTGTTCCCGTTTTGTTTTTTTACTTCAAAATAAGATATGTTCAGTGTGCATAGGAATTTGTTCATAGTTTTTTTTTTAAACTATAGTCCAGCCCTCCAACGGTCTGAGGGACAGTGAACTGGCCCCCTGTTTAAAAAGTTTGAGGACCCCTGCTTTAGATTAACTACGATCATCTTTCTTAGGAAATAAAATGCAAATGTTTCCCCTCTCTCAGTAGTACAAGCAGTTACCTGGAAAATTCAATTTCTTAGGCTCCACTGTGTATGAGGAAGACATTACTCTTCCATTTGTTGCAGCAGCTTCCTGGTAGAGCACCAGTTTCTGAGTCATATCATTTAAAAGATTCAAACACTCCCTTGAAATGGCCGTCCAATTGTGGGGATGTCCACCTAAAAGGTCCAAACACCAACTTTTAAAATGTATATAATTGTATAGTCCCTCAAATGAGGACAAAAATCAGTTAGAAATGCTACATTACACTTTGCATCAGGGCCCACTTTTCTCTATTAAGCTACTATTTATATTCATATTCATGCCATCTAATACACATCAGTTCAATAAGTATTTGGATGAAATAATTTTCCCCAAAGTCTACAAGCAAAAAGTTGCTATTTTACCATAAAAACCTCTCAAACTGATCATTAAAATAAGGCCAAACACTAGAGAATGGTTTCAGTGCAAATGCCCAGGGTTTCTTTACTAGCAATACTGAAGACTCAAGACTAAGACAACAAACACTAGCATGTCTAATGAGATGTATACGATGGCCCCTGGTGACCTCTATCTGACCCACTGTGCTTCCTTATATTTTCATTTGTATAATAGTCCATATTTGCTATTATATCCATAGGAGTTACACATTATTTGTAAAAGTGTAATAATCACACTTTATATTTGAAGAGTTTACATGTCTGCTGAATATTTAACTTGAGCTATATGACCCACACTCTTCTTTCTCATTATCTTTTGATTTTCTAAGACTTTTATCTCCTAGGGCTGTCATGTTAAATCAATTGTACTTCATTATGTGCTGGGAATAGCAGGAGTCCACTGAAAACTGGTTTCCCCATCCTGGGTGCCAATCATCATTTTATTTAGATCCTCCCTTAAACATTTCCCCTTTACAACTCAAGAGGAACACCACTTCACTTGCAAACTAACAACATACTCCATCAGCAGGCCCTAGAATGTTTTATACTGCTGTAACTCAGGACCACTGGGGGACTATGTAATGGTCCAGTTAAATTTTAATAATATGCCCTAGAATAAAAAGTTCTCTGGCAGAGAACATGCCACCTTCTTACAGTTTACCTGAATTTCTGGTGAAAATATTTAATGTATAGAGAATTCCTAGCTTCAGCCAGTTTCACTCAATGGGTAGAGCGTCGGCCTGGGAACTAAGGGTCCCAGGTTCCATTCTGGTCAAGGGAACATGCCTGAGTTGTGGGCATGATCATCAGTAGGGGGCATGCAGAATACAGCCCATCAATGATTCTCTCATCATTGATGTTTCTCTCTCCCTCTCTTTTCCTCTCCGAAATCAATAAAAAATATATATTAAAAAAAAAATAGAGAATTCCTAAGTTAACCTAAGTCTGATAGAAAACTATTGCTACAGTTATTCTCCACAACAGCAGTGCTACATTTTTCATGTTACTAAAAGGAGACTAGCTTCAATCATTTATATTTTTATATAACTCGATTTTATTTCCATGTAACATTTAACTATAAAGAAGGTTTATTTTACAATCTGGGAATGGGCAAGTTTAGCAAAATAATGAAGAGTTAATTAGAAAGAAGGTAAAAAGCTACCCAGTTCTCTGTTTCCCGGTGTTGACTAGGGATGTTTCTTTTTTTCCTAGAAATAAGGCAGAGCACTGGCACAATTACCATCTTGAAGAGGTTGGCAAGTAAGAGTCACCAATAGCATCTTTGGGTCACCATCAAATCTAGTTCCTTTCTAATTTTTTTAATTGAGGCAGAGTAGCATAGCAGGAAGGGGAGCTCTGCACTTGGGAGTCAAATTTCTTATCCAACTCTGACATTAACTTTATTTAAGCCACTTATTCTCTCTGAGAATTAGGTCCCCCATCTAGAGATTAGACCACCTGATACACCTGACATTTAAGACCCCTGTAGTATTAAAACTTTTAGGGTTCTTAAACTGCATTCTCGCTCTAAAACTGTCAATCTACTTCATAGTTTCTTCAAGTTAAGGGAATGAGGGGCCTGAAGGAAATAATATAAAAACTTAAAAATGCCTTTCCTGATGACACAAGTTCTAACCACAACATAAACACTTTGTTTTATTTACAAGATTTAAATCATGACTTCATTTAATGGGCTCTTTCATGTGTGATATTTTATTAAATACTAGAGGCCCAGTGCACAAAAATCATGCACTCGGGGCAGGAGTGGGAGGGGGAACGACCCTCAGCCAGGCCTGTGCCCTCTCGCATTCCAGGAGCCCTCGGGGGATGTCTGACTAACACGGAGGCGGGAGAGGCTCCCGCCACCGCCAATGCACTTGCCAGCTGCAAGCCTGGCTTCTGGGGGAGCACAGTGACAACCAGGGGGCAGCTCCTGCATTGAGCGTCTTCCCCCAATGGTCAGTGCACTTCATAGCGACCGGTCATTCCACCATTCGTTGATTTGCATATTAGCCTTTTGAGGATACCTATCTCACCAAAAACTTTAAATAGAACACTTTCTGCACACACATGCCTAGTCAAGTCTATTACTTTTAGTATTACCTGGTTGGCTGAGACTAAAAACTTCTTGTCTTCGTGAAGGAGAATATTGAGAAAGCAACATCAGGTCCTGCAAGGCCAAATACTAAAAGGGGGGGAAAAACATAGTTTACTTTTTTTAATATTTACATAAAATCTTTACTTATGAACTGGGCTCAACATGATGTATATAAGGGGAAATCAGTTGAAATTTTTCATAAAGAAAATAATATTTAACCTTCCTTTTTAGATTTCCAGAACTTTCCTATCTCTATCTTCTATAGCAGCAGTCGCCAACCGGTGGTCCGCGAGGTCTGAAAGGTTGGCCACTGCTGCTCTATAGGATACCCCACCCACTACATGGAACCAAAGAACTTTCTGTGTTCTTTCCCAACTCTATGGTGGGAAACATACAAAAACATCACTTCCTCCTGAAACTTTCCCTTGGCCTCCCTCACACAAACATACACCACAGGTCTCAACTGTGGCACTTAACATAATTTATTGTAATTGCCTGTTTACTTGTCTCACCTGGTTCCACCCACTACACTGTGAGGCAGGAACAAAGTATTGCTTGCTACCACACTCAAAGTCAGTGCCAGCACACAGTAGACATGCAATGTCTGTGGTACTTTACCAAAACTCTTCATTTTGTTCCCTGTCAAACCTCTTCACTCATCATTCAAGAGACCATACCTTTTGTGAAGCTTCCTTATATTGGTCCCAAGCAGAATAAGTGGTTCAAACTCTACTTACCCTAGTAAATTTTCATTATTTTGTGCATCTGCCTTTTCCATTAGGCTGTGCTACATCTTACTCATCATTATACCCTAAGTAACTAGCAGTAACTGACACCTGCCCAATAAAGATTTGTTAAATCAATGTTAGGTATTTTTGTTTATCTATTTAATTAGTCATAATTGATAACTAAAGGTAATAAGAGCCTCAGTGGTTCATTTTCTTATTGGTTTATAACTTTTCCAGTGCAATAAAAACTATGAATTCTAACTATTTCAATTCTTTTAATTACTATGACCTCTTAACAGGATCACATATATTGTAGATCTACTTTAAAATTTCAAAATGCAATTTAAAACAATTTATTTTCATTTAATTTGTAAATTTATTGCAACTTCTTTAAACTCTTTTGGATTAAAATTTATTTTAGGATCATAATTATTATTCATATCTTAAGAGAGTTCACTGAATGTCTACACACTACCAAGCACTATCTTTAGTCATAATGGCAACTACATGAGTGAAAATAAATATTGATCCAGTGATTTTAAAAAACCAATAATGCTTTGTTTTGCTACCATGAGGAGTTTGTGAAAAGCTAATGCATATCAGATTTTATGTGTGGAAATATTTTTATATCTATTCTGAATATACTAGTAGGTTAGCTTAACTTGTACACATGCATTACAGTATATACTTTCATTTTAGTCACTTGGAAAGAAAACTGAAAAAGTAAACAGCATGCAATGTAGCATGTAAGTGATTTTTACAATAAAGTTTTAGAATATGCTAGGCCAGTGATGGCGAACCTTTTGAGCTTGGCGTGTCAGCATTTTGAAAAACCCTAACTTAACTCTGGTGCCGTGTCACATACAGAAATTTTTTGATATTTGCAACCATAGTAAAACAAAGACTTATATTTTTGATATTTATTTTACATATTGAAATGCCATTTAACAAAGAAAAATCAACCAAAAAAATGAGTTTGCGTGTCAGAGGTGTCATAGGTTCGCGAGTCATAGGTTCGCCATCACTGTGCTAGGCTCTCAAAAAACATATCTAAACACCTAAATATATTATATATTAAGTGCTTCTATAAGATAAGTTAGAGATGACTGTGTAAAGATATAAAATGCACAGTTCTGGTACCTTTATGATGAGGGGCGGATTACTGTTTAAGACTTTTGAGAGGCATTCATCTGACTCTTCTGCAAATGGTGGTTGAACAGGGAACAGATGAGCCTATCAAACGTAATCAAAAGGACTATGAAAGTGAGTATTTTCATGGCTTTATTATAGTCAGTAAGTACTAACTGATATTAGTTATAAAAAGAGACCAAATTAACATTTTTACTGTTCCTTGCAAAAATACGTTGTATTAAAGTTATATATACCCAAACATACTACTTTCTAAAATGTTACCCTTCCAATTTTATTAGATTTCTGGTTTCCAATAATGAAACAAATTTTAGAAGCAAAGATTCTTTGAAGCCACTAAAGAATATAAATCTACAGAGATGGTAAAATGAAACCGAAACACTCATTTTCCAAGACAAACACTTGGATGATAAAGACAATGTAAATCCCATCCATTTAAAAACATTTCTTCAGCCCTGGCTGGGTGGCTTGGTTGTTGGAGCATAGTCCCATACACTAGAGGAGTTAAATTCCCAGTCAGGGCACATGTCTATGTTGCGGGTTCAACTCCTGGTCAGGGCAGGTACAAAAGGAAACTGATCGATTTTTCTCTTTCACATCAATGTTTCTCTCTCTCTCCCTTCCTCTCTCTCTAAAAATCAATAAAAACATATCCTTGATGAGGATTAAAATCCTATATAATAAAAGGGTAATATGCAAATTGTCCCCTCACCCACAGTTCCACCGGAGTTCAACCTGGGGGCGGGGCCGGCCCACCAACCGCCTGGGGCCCCTGCCCCAGACCGGTCAGTCCCTGATCGCCCACACATCCTGATTGGGGGTGGAGCCGGCTGGGCAACCTCCCATGTCCCCTCCCCCTGGCTGGCCCCACGAATTCATGCACTGGGCCTCTTGTTATATATATAAACAAACATTTCTTCAATATAGTTTTTTTATACATCCATGTCAGTATTGTTATCTCTTGTCATTTTTAAAATATTTTTTTAGCCCTAACCGGTTTGGCTCAGTGGATAGAGTGTTGGCCTGCGGAGTGAAAGGTCCCAGGTTCAATTCCGGTCAAGGGCATGTACCTTGGTTGCAAGCACATCCCCAGTAGGGGGTGTGCAGGAGGCAGCTGATCGATGTTTCTCTCTCATTGATGTTTCTAACTCTCTATCCCTCTCCCTTCCTCTCTGTAAAAAAATCAATAAAATATATTTTATTATATATATATATATATATTTTAATTGATTTTAGAAAGAAAGGAAGGGAGAGAGATAGAGAGATAGAAACATCAATGAGAGAAACACCCATGAGCTGCCTCCTGCACACCCGCTACTGGGGATCAAGCCCGCAACCAAGGCATGTGCCCTGACTGGGAATCGGTCTGATGACCTCCTGGTTCATGTGCCAGCGCTCACCACTGAGCCACACCCACTGGGCTTCAACATACATTTTTAAAGTTTCATTCAAAGAAGAAATATTTTATTGCCTTATATTTAAATATTTTAGTACTATCTCTATCAACAGCACATAGAAATATTTTAAAATTCAGGCCCCTCTAGTATGTACTCAACAGAGAAATGAAAACCTTCAGAAGAGAATTCAATTGTAGGTAAAGCATAGTAAACAGATACCATTAGACGTCCATTCAATTTAGTTTCCAATAATTAAGAATACCAACATTGTTCCTCATTATATAACTAGTAGCCCAATGCACGAAATTCGTGCATGGGGGTTGGGGGGTCCCTCAGCCCATCCTGCAATGATGCCAGCATCCCTTGGCCGCAGACTCCGGCCCGAGGCCCCTCCCCTCCCCTCCCTCCTCACATCCGAGGCTCAGACTCTGGCCCGAGGCCCCTCCCCTCCCCTCCCTCCGCCCAGCCGGGGCTCGGACTCAGGCCGAGGCCCCTGCTCTCCCCTCTCTTCACCCAGCCAAGCACACATGTTCAGCTTTAGAAGTTATTTACTTACTGATGGTTAGTAAATAACTTCTAAAGCTGAACGCGTCGCTGCGAGCCCAGAATTCCTCGCCAGGGACTCCGGCCCCAGGCCCCTCCCCTCCCTCCTTCAGCGTGGACTCTGGGCTGGTGTCGCAGTGAGCCCAGCATCCCTCACCGTGGACTCCGGCCCAAGGACCCTGCCCTCCCTTTCCTCCGCGAGTCTGAGGACCAGACGTTGGGCTCATGTTGCGGTGAGCCCAGCATCCCTCACTGCAGACTCTGACCTGAGGCCCCTGCCCTCCCCTCCCTCCGCCCAGCCGGGCCAGACCCTGGGCTCACATTGCCGGGGCAACGCCGCCAGCATCCCGCCCCGGCCACTATGGGCGCCACTATCTTTGTCTCGGGGTGATGGTTAACGAAAGTCTCGGGAGCCCGCAAGCGTGGCTACGGCCTTGCCTCCTGGGGCCGACGAAAGTCCCGGGAGCCCGCAGCCACGGCCACCGTCACCTGGGGCGCTTGACACCTGCATATCCAAATTAACTGCCATCTTTGTCGGATAATTTGCATAGTCACTCGGATTGGCTGGTGGGTGTGGCTGGTGGACGTGGCTTCAGCATATCAGAGGGATGGCTAATTTGCATGTTTGTCTATTATTATGCCGATTGGGGCACCGCCCCCTGTCACACTCAAGGCAGGGTCGATGGGGAGGTTGCGGTGCCAACCCCTGTCACGCACAGACGCACAGAAATCAGGGGGTTGGGGCGCTGCCCCCTGTCACTCACAGAGCAGGGCCCATCAGGGGGGTTGGGGCGCCACCACTGTCACACTCGGGGCAGGGCTGATGGAGAGGTTATGGCTCTACCCTGTCACACACAGAGCAGGGCCCGTGGCGGGGAGGGGGTTGGTGTGCTGCACCTTGTCAAACACAGAGCCGCAGGGCAATCAGGGGATTGGGGAGCTCCCCCCTATCAGGCACAGAGC